TTCAGCTGGCCTAGAATAATATAATATTCACAGGAATCCCTCAATGGGGAACTCTGAAAGTTGATAATTAGGTGGATGAGTCGATGAACAGTGGTAATATATGGTGGCCAAATGGGATTGGGTTGCCATCGATGGACATAAACTTTTATTTATTTAATTAAATATTTTAAAATTAAAAAAATAAATAAATAAAGTATAGTTTTGCTTGGAGTTTAATGGAGCAAAGCAGGACCCCTCCATGTGAGTATAGGGAATACTTTAAAGTAAACTATGCATATAAACTAAATGCACGTCGTTTTCTTTTTTTTCTTTGGTTTTTGTTGTATTCACATTGGTGCATGTCGTATTATAAGATATAAAGTTAAGAAAAGATGGCTTCCCCTTCATCATTTTTCTTCCTTTCTTTCTTTCTATCGAGAATAAGAGAATAGAAGAGAGAAGAAGGGTGTTGGTTGCTTACACGGCAATATAAAGTTTTATGTTTGTGTAATTTATAATTATAAAAAAAAATTATTTTAAAATTTCTAAAAAAGAAAAAAAATATAATATATGTATTAGAAGTTATATATATTTGTTCTAGATCGCTAATTTGGTTAGACTCCCTCCTCCTTGAATTAGTTTTTGGAACGTAAGTTCTACTTAAAGCCTACTTTATCATTTCTTACAAGCGGCAAATCAATCGGTTTTTGTTGTATTTGGAGACACTGTTTAGAAAATAGATAGTCGATATTAGTTAGTTTTAAAATTTTAATATCAAGGTGGAATGAGTAGTTAAGGAATTAAGTGGAAGAGAGTATGTCACGTTTATAATTTAACTCTTTATATTTTTTTTTTTTCCTTAAGTACTTTATTTTTTAAGACTTATCCATGAATTTAATTAACTTGATGCATAAATTATAGACCATTTGATCTCTTAATAATAATTAATTAATCAACTTGCAAATATTGGCAATAAAAATCCACTCAATGGTCTAATGTCTACATTAAATATAGATCGAACTGTCTCACGTCATTAAAAGTATAGATATAAAATAAATTATTAATGGCTTAATTAGGTCTAAGTCAAATAATTCTTTGTATTTTAGATAGAAAATTATTAAAAAAATAAAAGTGTAAAAGATATACTGAAGGGTCATCTCTTGGATCTATTAATTGGGACAAAGATCCATCCACCCAATGATATAATCTTATCTCTTGGGATTAAAGAAAAGGATCAAATTCAAATTTCATCTTCAATATATGTAAAATGATAATTAATTAAAGGGAGAACAACATTTTCCCACCCAAGGTTTGGCAAAACGACACTTTACCACCCATCAAGTTTCAAAATGACACTTTTCCACTCTTTGTTATGTTTTGTTATATTTTCCTTAAATATTTTACTTTATAAATTTTTGATTATTTTTTAATTAGCCAATAAGTCAAATATTAAAAATTCAAAAAAGAAAAAATAGTTAACCCCACCTAAAAAATTAGGAGTAATGCTATAAAATTGTTTAAAGTTAAATAATCTTAATATTTATTTATAAAATTATCAATATCACATCACTATTATTTATAACGTTTTTCATTTTTACTAATTAACATCAAAAATTAATATTCCTAATTAATTAAATAAACAAAGAAAAAAATATATCTTTATACTTGGACTAATAAATAATCGAATAAAAACTTTAAATTAACTAAATTTTAATTTATAATAAACTAATTAAGAAATAAAATATTTTAGCGTATTTTCGTCTTTTCAGTCAAATATTAACAGAAAATACTAACAGAACCTAACGAAGGGTGGGAAAGTGTCGTTTCATCAAACCTTGGGTGGGAAAATGTCGTTCTCCCTTAATTAAACAAAGTAATTGCTTAAAGTTAAGTCCCATTTGTTCCCTTCATAGTAAATGTACTCCTAATAAAGCAATAACACTTGGGGCTCAAGTTTAGTACCACTTAAGCCAACCCTTTAATTATTCTAAGCTTCATCCAAGAAGCCAACCCTTTAATTTTATGTAATTAGATGATTGATAGATAATACATGGTAGATGATAAGGGAAGGTAGCTTTCCAACCAAGAAATTTAGTTAGTTGTTATTATGTTGAATAATTGGATTGATTAATTTGATACCTCTCTCAACCACTACTATTATAAGTGGGGTGTTTTTGGAATTTGGAGATCTATCAAATCCAATTTAGATGACCATTTTCTTTTTTATATCAATCCAATTAATTATAAGGTTTTATGGATAAGGTTTCTTAATCCTTTTTACTGGGGTTGTGCATAGCTTCAATCTACAAGCTCAGGTTCGACTCCATATTGGTTGCAAAAGTAGTGGCGGTGAGTTGTTGTGGGACGCGTAAGCTAACCCAGATAGTCCAGTTAATAAAAAAACAAAAACAAAAAAGCACCAAAAATGAATTGATTGAGCACCAATTTAGGTGGTATGTTATAATTAGATGGTTGAATAGGTAGAAAAACGGTAAACAGAATTCAAACGGCAAGTGGAAAAGCTTGCTTCTTTGCCTCTTGCGGCTATACATGTGGGGGTTACTTTAGAATCAATTCGTTCCCCTTAAACATTTGAAACTAAGACCACACATATTCTTCTCAAACTCATAATTAGAAACATTGATCACGCTATTTAATTTCTTTGTAGATTATAGTGCTAATGGTTGAAGACTATACCCATCTTGATAACCCATTGGATAGTAAACGTAAGGGTGTGGTCTGTTAAGTTGAAAACCTTGAGGGTTTGACTAGTAACATTGTTGATGGGGTTTTTAAGCAAGGCATCCTTTAACAAGTAGTGGGGAGGATGTTGACAGCTAAAAAGAGACTCCTTTAGTTCCATCTCTCAACTCAACTGTCTCAATAGTTAAAGCAAAACACAGAAGAGATGGGGTTCGGGAAGAGAGGGTTTTAATTTTATCAGTCAAAGTGGATAGAACAGAAAGAAAGATAGAATTTTTATTAACTCTCATCACTAATGTAGAAAAAGAAAAAAGAAAAAAACTGGGGTCTCTACTGTTTTGGCTGCTGAAAAAGAGGGAGGAGGCTTAAATAAACGCACATGGGTGCATGTGTAAGTCTGATGTTAGTATGCCCCAACAACACAGCAACATAATGACTGCAAATGGAAACAAAGAAAGTGCTTCTTTGAGAAGCACTACTTNATCAATCCAATTAATTATAAGGTTTTATGGATAAGGTTTCTTAATCTTTTTTATTGGGGTTGTGCATAATTTCAATCTACATCTCAGGTTCGACTCCCTGTTGGGTGCAAAGGTAGTGGCGGTGAGTTGTTGTGGGACGCGTAAGTTAACCCAGATAGTCCAGTTAATAAAAAAACAAAAACAAAAAAGCACCAAAAATGAATTGATTGAGCACCAATTTAGGTGGTATGTTATAATTAGATGGTTGAATAGGTAGAAAAACGGTAAACAGAATTCAAACGGCAAGTGGAAAAGCTTGCTTCTTTGCCTCTTGCGGCTATACATGTGGGGGTTACTTTAGAATCAATTCGTTCCCCTTAAACATTTGAAACTAAGACCACACATATTCTTCTCAAACTCATAATTAGAAACATTGATCACGCTATTTAATTTCTTTGTAGATTATAGTGCTAATGGTTGAAGACTATACCCATCTTGATAACCCATTGGATAGTAAACGTAAGGGTGTGGTCTGTTAAGTTGAAAACCTTGAGGGTTTGACTAGTAACATTGTTGATGGGGTTTTTAAGCAAGGCATCCTTTAACAAGTAGTGGGGAGGATGTTGACAGCTAAAAAGAGACTCCTTTAGTTCCATCTCTCAACTCAACTGTCTCAATAGTTAAAGCAAAACACAGAAGAGATGGGGTTCGGGAAGAGAGGGTTTTAATTTTATCAGTCAAAGTGGATAGAACAGAAAGAAAGATAGAATTTTTATTAACTCTCATCACTAATGTAGAAAAAGAAAAAAGAAAAAAACTGGGGTCTCTACTGTTTTGGCTGCTGAAAAAGAGGGAGGAGGCTTAAATAAACGCACATGGGTGCATGTGTAAGTCTGATGTTAGTATGCCCCAACAACACAGCAACATAATGACTGCAAATGGAAACAAAGAAAGTGCTTCTTTGAGAAGCACTACTTTCACTTTAAATTTTTGTTCAATTTTTTTTCATCAATCCAATCCAATCCAATCCAATCTAATCTGATAGATACTGCTGAAACTTCACTTAACTCCTTAAGAAAGCTAAGCTACCTGTCCTCCACCGAAAATGACTGTAGAAAGGAGTGAATTAATTGGTTTTGTTTAGGCTGAAACTTAAAGAGACAAGAAGAGGGAACAGGTGTCAACCATGAGGGAGGGGGGGTCTGTTAATGGTGAGAGTGACCTTTGAGAAAGAGCCTTGTTTTGTCTGGGCAGTCTTAACGATGGAGGGCTGGGTTCACTAATTTCTAGGGTAGTTTAAGTTAAGGGGTTATATATTATGTGCTGAAATAAAGGGGTTTTGTCCAGGTGGGGACAATAACCCACATGATATGTCCAGAATTCTCATAAATTTTTGGCGTTTTCGCCAACTTTTGGGCAGTGGAGTTGGATATTCAAATCATTTTGGTAACTCAGATATGACCAAATCCATCTCCCTCTCTCTCTCTCTGGTAAATATTTCACTTCAGTTTTTATGGAAACTCAGTAACTCATATCAAACATGCCCCAAATAATTGACCTCCCCATCTGCCCCATATTGTTCTGTCGTTTTCTCTGTCTACCTGATATTTACATAACACACCTTGCTTCGGGATTCCGTTTACATTCATCTTTAAGCAATAAGTTGAACACCATTAAATTATCACCAAAGATCTTGCATCTTTTAACATCTATGTCAGTTTAATTGCAGAATCTTTGAAAACCCTCTTCAATAAACACAAATTGAATGGATTTGCAGCATTCAACAAACCTCAAACTACCTAAAAATTTTATAAATTTATAATCCATATACTATAACATTATTAATTGGCAAAACCATACAACAAAAATGAAGCAGTCAATTATTGTTAATGTGATTTGGAAACAGAGAGAAAAATAGAGGGAAAGAAAATATGTATTCAACAGGAGGAGAGGAGATTACTTGGCGAGGGAGAAAGTGAAAAATATTAAAAAGAGAAAATACACGTGAAAATTAACAAGGTGTCACCATCAAGAGGTTGGAGGAGGGGCGGCTGAGCTTGAGCTAGAACTAGAACTAGAATCGCCACCACCGCTGCTGCTGCTGCTGCCGCCGCCGCCGCCGCCGCCGCCGCCAGAGAGTAGCTCGGTGATGGCCGTCATGGCTCGTACCTGCATCTCAAGTGCGGCTATATAATCAGAAGCTTCATCTAGAATTACCGGAAACGGTTGTTTCCGGCAACCGGGTACCAACCGGCCAAGAACACGAACTTTCCTCTGCACAGCCGGCAAACTCTTTCTCAACCTCAAAACGCTAAATCTCGTCTTCTTTGAACGGCTACTCCCGGTTGCCACCACAGAAGACGACGGCGGCGGCACTCTCTGCGGCCTCTTCTGCTTTCTAAACTTGAGCTTCAGCCTATTAGTCAAAATGGCTCGGCTCCACCGGGTCCTCCCTTTGGCCGCCACAGCCAAGACGCGGTCAGCGGCTTCACGAACGGCTCGACCTCCGCGGGGGGCAGATGGCGAGGAGGTCTTGTTGCTGATGGTGACATGGTTTAAAGCTTGAATAAGTTTTGAAGAGTAGATTTGTTGCTGAGCTTCAGACTTCCATTTGATTATGTTGTTGTTTGGGTTGTTTTGATCTTTGGGTTGCAAAGATTTCTTCTTCTTTTTCCTTTTGGAGCGGTCAGAGTTGGTTACCGGATTGGATATCACAGTGGAGGACATGATGAAATAATTGGATATGAAATAAAATGATATATATATATCGTTCTGTAGAATCACCAAAACAAAGCAGATATTCCAAGATTGGTTATACTGAATGAATACTGATGATTTAAGAATATATTGGGATGAGAATATTACCTTGAGAGGAAATAAAAGAGGGAGAGAGAGAGAAGATCGGAACGGGGTGAGAGGAAGAAAAGAAAACGGGACGGAGTTTGGGAAGGATGAGGTGGCGAGGTTTGGTGGTGGTGGTGGGAGAGATATTGAAGGGAGAGAGAAAGGGAGAGGGAAAGGGTTATAAAGGAATGAAAAGAGACCAGGCGTCAGTCATTTCCTTAAAACCACATTAAATTGCTTTATGCTTCTGTAGCTGCCGTGGCCCAATGTATTTCATTTTACTTTGGAGTAAATACCTTTTCCCACCCAAGGTTTGCCTTAATTTTTTTACCCCAAACTTTTCAAAATACCACTTTTTCACCCAAAGTTTATATTTCATTAATACTCAAAATTTCACTTTTTCAACCGACGTTCGCCGAGTTTCCAAGAGCCAAGTGAGAGAGGTTTTATAGAGTGGAGGCTAGTGGATCGAATGATAGTAATCGATTGAATGTACGTCGTCGAAATCTGTCAAAAATTAGCTAAGAATAGGAAATCCTAATTTTGTGGTGATCGATAATTGGCAAGAAATCAGATACCGGAGTGAGAGGGGTTTCGTAAAAAGGAGAACAGAAGTTTAAATGGTGGTGATAGAGATAATTTTTTCCATCGGAATTTGCTTTAGGTAGTAACAAAATATTAACTTGGGTGCAAAAATAGTATTTTGAAACCTTTTAGGTCAAAAGTTATTTAAGCAAACTTGGGTGGGAAAAAGTTGTTTTACTCTTTACTTTGTGTGTAGGTGGGTGGGTTTGAGTGGGTGCGCCTTTGCTTTACCTGTGGTTGGTCGGCTGGTTCCTCTATGCTCCACTGTGACTCGAATTGAGTTGTGGTGTGGCTCTTCACCACTAAGTCTAATTAACTTCTCCATCCTAGCTCATGCGCACTTTGTTAAAGCTATGCACTAAAATTGGGTCCCCTATCCTAATTTACCAATACAAAAGCACAAATCTATCGTTATCACATATTTTATGATAGATTACTAAGTCGAGTTATTGCAAGACGTAATGTAACATAAAAATTACAAAACAGTTGCTTTATTTACTTTGATTGAAAAGTTTTTTTTAATTTTCATTAATATTTAGGGAGAATATCAATTCGTGGACACTATTTTTGTGTTTTTATTTTTTATTTTTTTGTAGTTTTGGTTTATCATTTTTTTTTAAATTTAATTTGAACTTATTCTTAAGGGTAAATATTTTTAATTATAGTCTTTTTTTTTTTAAATTAGAAAAAATTGTTAAGTCAAATATATATATAAAAACAAAAAATTGGCTAGTTACATTTTTGCCCTTCTCAAACGTATCTAAAACTTTTAAGTGTGATTTGTCCTTTTTCGCATTTTTTAAAACTTAGTTATTTTTCAAATAAACGGGTCCACAAATTGATATCCTCCCTTTACTATTTATAATAGGCTTTTAATTTTGAATTTAACAAATTTATTTTTATCATATATAATAAACCCCACAAATTCTAGAAGGGGTCCTGGGGTCATGAGGTTTCACAAGAAAGCTGCTCCATAATATGTTAAAATGGCCGTTCGTTTTCAATTTCATTTCCGTTTTCTCCAAATTTTTTGCATTGTAGAATTGTACAAATCTTGTTCACCAACTGTTTTTGTTTTTGAAATGCAAAAATGGGGGAAGTGGTGGATCTCATAATACATGATTGCCTAAAATTCGGATTCTCATAAACCATTTTTTTTTTTTTTTTAACTTGAGACCGTACACCTATCCATATTATTCTCAATTCGTTTTAATCATTTAAAAAACTCGTGGATGAGTGATTCTCAAAAAGGCACTTTTAAAGTGTTGAATAATACTATATTTATAACTTAATCATACAAACAAATAAAAAGTAAAGGATATAGTAGTTATTTTACATAAATATTATTGTAAAGTGTTTTGTCAAAATCAATCTCAAATTAATATTAGATACAGTAAAACCCCTCTATAGTGATACTCTATATAAGAATAAACTCTACATAATCATAAAAAATTTTATTCCCAACTTGGGATAGTTATAAATAAGAATAAACTTCATATTATAATAAGTAATAATTTTTCTAATTCCCGTCTTAAGGAAAGTTGCCTCCACATAATAATAATTATGTGTATACTACCAAAAAAAAAAAATATATATTATTTGTTACATTAAAAGTTTAAGTTGAAATAAAATACTTATCTAAAGTTGTTTGGGAGAATAATGTATACTTTAGAGTTGTTACTACATTTTTTAATTTGCGGGTACATTATTCGCTAACATGAACATCTTCTTGTTGAAGTCAAAATATTTATAACTTCTCAAGCATCTTTGGAGCTTTTTGCCACAAAAATTTTTGTATTCCCGTACTATTATCTTCATGATTATTTCTTTTCTCTTCTTGTGTACTTGTAGCAATTATTTATTCTCAGTTAAAGCATACATGACTTGTTGGTCATTTGAATGATTAAAGAAAACATTAATATCTATTCGATTAGTGTAGTGAAATTGTCAAATCTGATCACTCAAGTCTACAATGACTCTTTGATTCTTCTCATCCACTTTATTTATAACTTGTAATTCATCAACATCAGAGGTCTTAATTTTGTAATGCTTAAAATAATTGATAATTAACAATTGTCTGTGGCTTCACATCAATTTAACCATGTAACAATTGTATTTACAATTCCATCAAAGACACTTATCTTTATTGGTTCTAATACACGATTTCCTATTCATTTAAAAAGTAAGCAATTGAAGCATTGAATTGAAATCTTAATATTATTAAAATATGAATTGAAATCTTAATATTGTACTACTAAAACATGAATTATAAAATAAAAAATTTTTGTAACTATACCTCTATTAAATTATAACCTCTTTATAATAATAAATTTAATTAATCTTATTATAATTATAGAGAGGTTTCAATAATGTTTTAAAACAAAGAAAGCGACCATAAATATCTCTAATTAATATTAGATATTTCAAACATGCTATCCTCTCACCTTTTAACATACGTCATGGACGTACAGGTAATTTTATCCCTATCACATCTATAGAGAGAATGTTGGTCTAATGACACTTAAATGTAAGGAAATTAGAAAGTGGATAAAACCTAAAAAGGGAACTAGGGAAAAAGAAAATGTAATTACCCCAATTCCAAAAAAATAAGTACATGTCCACCCTCATAATGTTCTATTGTACATATCATGGACTTAAATTTCTAAATAGATGACTAAACAAAGGCATGACAACTAAGTTTTTGAGACGAGTTTTACCCAAAGTCACTATCAAAAGATGTTAGAAGTCACTTGGTTTGAAACTAAATAACAAAACCTTAAGTTAGTCAAAGGTTTGTATTCAAGTCACATTAAGTAATCATCTATCACATTTATAGAATATTCAATAAACTTTAAAAATTATTTAAAGTGCGTACAAATCTACCAAAAAAAAAAAAAACACATGATAATACTATCTTAAACTTAAAAATTTGCAGATCACTAAAGAACCGAACCAACAACCTTTTTCTAAAGTTTGAATTTCTTGATCTAAATAAAAAAAATAAAATTATATCATTATCCTCAGTTTTGTTTAATATTGCTCTTGATTTGTTTCCATAAATTATAAACTCGATGGTTTAAAAAGCCGCTTTAATAAGTTGTTTTTCTTCTTCTACAATGGTGAAGCAGAGTGGGCTTAAGATCGAGTGTTCAAATGTTAACCCACAGCCAGAGCAATTGGACACAATTTTCAGACTCCCATGCTCTAAAAAAGATAAAAGAAAATACAAATGAGCAGAGTATGGGTTGCTGAGGTGTCAACTGATGTTTGGATGGATCCATGGTGTTGGCTTCCACTAATTGACTAGGGATCTGGGACCCATTGAAAAATATTTGTTTTAATTCCGTGCAATGATTATTGGAGGTGAAAGAAAAGATAAACAAAAGAAAAATGCATGTGCAATGTGGGTTGTTCCTCTGGCACTTTTCTATCTTGGGCTTTGTTTTGTATTTGTTGGAGAAGGTTTGGAATTTTCTTCCTTTATGAGGTGTGGACAGTCATGCTCCACATGTCATGCCATGGGTCCCTTCTTCTTTTTTCTAATCCAATAATCACTACCCTTCATCATACTTATCAAAGATAAAGATAGTGCCATCAACAAAACATTAACAAATAGAATCGACGACTTCCCACTTTAAAAACAATTATCACAACCATCGTCATGCTAACACTTCCCGTTATTATAACTCTCCCTAAAAAGATCCAATTAACAAAATTAATCTCTTAAATTAAATAAAAACAGTCTGGCCCTTGGATGATCAAAACAATGTTAATATTCTCTCTATGATTATGAGTTGGTTAGTTTATGTCAAAAAATTAAAAAAAAAAAGAAAAAGAAAAAAAGATGGTGATAATGATGAACCTAATCCTAATTCTCACCAAAATCATTGATCCATGTGTATGGGCAATGCACTTTTGTGGGCATTATACAGGGAAACCTTAAAATAGTTTTTCTTTGAAAATCTAAAAACACTACAAAGCATTATGATATGCCAGTGAGTTTGCCTCCTTTTTGTGAGACACAATTAAACAGAGAGCACCAAAAAAGGGAGAAAGCAATGAGCAGCACCAGAAACTGATTAATTCACTCAAATGCTTATGAGTGAATCTGTGATATTAACTCAGAGTAGAAATCTGGGAAATGGTAAAGATTTGAACCTAATAACACTAGCATGAAGGGTTATGAAATGTATAATATTCATGACTCAAACCAGAATCAAACTATTCTTGTATAAACCAACTAAACTCAAGAGCAGAAAGAATATGACCTATCTACTTTGATGTCAGCTTCATTTCTTAGCTTCATTCAACCTGAAAAAATATATCAGTTTGTTAGCTGATTGTAAAGAATAACCCTGAATGAAGAAATGGGTACATTGATTTTCATAACCCTTTAAAGATATCAATTTGGCTGGCAAAATATTAAAGCCAAAGTATAGTGCTTTATTAAAATGACTATATTCCGATAGTGAGCTCACTAATTATCCATAAAGATTAAGTTCTAATAAAAGAAAAAAAAAAAAAAAAGCCATGCAGAAGCTGTATGACAGGTTCCCACAACGAGGCATGAATCGTGCATCAACAATCATGAATATGTACTGGGGTTTGACAAACACAAATAGAG